TTTTCTTTTTTTTTCTTTTTACTTCAGCAGCAAGAACAGATAGTCTGCAGAAAAAAAAGGAGGATAAATGTGACCATCCCTTTGTGTCTTTTCTTTTGTGCATCAGTTAACAAGTAATGTGCCCATACTGGCAGTCTGGGGTTTTGAAATATTTGTGAAATAACACTTCCCTTTCTGCTGTCTATTAGGCTGAGGAAGTGAAAGGACTGTAGACAAAAAAAAAAGGGGCACAAGGACCTTTAAGAGAAATCATTAATATTGCACTTATATCATAGAGTGTTTCAATTAAACACTTACTGGTTAAGTAAAAAAATATTAATACAGTAACCGTTTATTCAGTCTGTTTTCAGCTGACTGCAGGCAGTCGTGTGTCCCGCCGTTGATTAAAAGGTATCATTTCGCCACTACAAAATAAAAGGCAATGAAAATATAAATTAAAATGAGGATAAAATGCAACTGCAATGGGCAGCCATCTGTTAGCTCTTAAAGGGGAAGTGGTATACTCGAAGCAGCGGAGGGCTGTGTGTCTCAGGAAGAATAAGAGAGGGAGTGGGATAAATGTGGTGATAGAAAGAGCCCAGGAATGCCAGGCCGGCAATCCAGGACTGCTCTGAATAAGCGAGCAAGCCAAGAGACGTTTTTCTTCTTCTTCTTTTTCCGCCTTTTGCCCCACTCTGCCTCCCTTCTCCCTCCCTTCCTTGGCCTGTTCGCTCTGGCCGGTTCCCCCGAAACACCGCAGCAGATTGTCGATCCAACGACTCCCTTGTCAAGTGATTATCTAGGAGCTTTAATGTAATCTTCCGCTCTCACGTACCATATTTCAATTACGAGTGCCATTGCGAAACAAGCTGCATATTCACTTCACCAATCGCCCCGCTGCTGCCTCAACAATGTCAACTGTAAAAGAACGCCAGCTGAAGGCAATTACGCATGTTTTCAGAGCCAATTATGATCGCTCTCACGGCGGCGGTTATGCCACAAGCAAGGGAGTGTTAGGAAATTTTTAATTTAATGACAATATGCTCATGGTAGGATTCAGCATGCGGCCCCCACTCCCAGGCCTGCCATTTCAGAATCCACAGAGGGAACCATTAGGCAGATAGGAAAAGATTATGGCCTCTCTCAAGGGCCACACTGGGAGCACAGGGATGGCCTCAGTAGTGCCGGGTAGATGGCATCCACTCATCCTCTCTGCAAGATCACAGCTGGCAGGGCCGAGTCCAAAGCGGAGAGGCAGGCTGGTTAGCTCGTCATCCAGTTTGGACTATGCCTGCAGAGGGAGCATAAACTCACACATTCTCACAGCAGATTGGAGGCTGAGAGATGCTGCGGAGAGAGATCAAAGTCTGCTCTGCGGGGCTTCCTTCTTCGACATTGCTGAGACACGGGCTTGACACCATTGAGTCTGAAAGCTTCTGGTAAATGGTCTTGAATTTGACATGCGAGGTTTTGGGGTTGTTTTTTTTTCCAAAATTGTGGAAACAAGTTTTCAGCTTTGTTCCAGAAAAAGAGCTTGGAGGAGGAAAAAGTTGTAAAATGACACATGTCACAGTAAAATATATATTTTTTAAAATGAATCTGTCAGTTACTGGTTATGAAGTAAATGACAATGTCATAATACATGTTTTAAAAGATCTATATTTTACGAAAGCTGTTTTACGTGCATGATCGCATGACCACTACAAGCAAGAGGTTACAGAACAGTCAGGTTTGTATTCACCGTCACAGCAGCAAAATAGGTTTTACAGAAAGAAAGCATATTGTTCGTAAATTTGGGTTTTAACGGTTTTAAAGGCTCAATTGTTCAAAAAACAAAATGCAGGTTAGAGCTGAGCCTCCCCTCCCTCTCCCAGTGGGATGTTTGTATAAAACCCAGTCAGTTCTCGGGGGTAGGGGTTGACAGGAGAAGACATCGCCCCAGTCCCTGGGAGATTGGTGAACACAACACATATATTAATGCATTAAATGTGTTGACTGTGTTCAGCCCAGAGATGCAGGAGTGAGAGAGAGCGAGAGAAAGGTTTGGGGGAAGAGGAGAAAAAAAAGCTGTTGTTATGTATGGTGTTGTCTTGTATACCGCACCTGGCAGTGTGTGTAAGTGTGTGTGTGTGAGGTGGGGGTGTTGGAGAAGTGTTGGCCAGATTATAAGGCCTGTGTTGAGAGATGAGGGATGGCCAACTTGTAAACAAGTGACAAGCGTCCTGGATGACAATTCCTAATCCATCATAGTGCTGTCAGCGGTGACCGGCGAGGTGACGGACAGCACCCAGGAGAGGGGGCAGCTGGTGCACGTCAGTCCACATCATAATTCGATTTTGCACATGAGCCGAAACAGAAGAAGAGTCAGAAAGAAGAAAGAACTTTCTGTCAGTTGCCTTCTTCTCAGTCAGTCGTCTCCATTTTCTCACCTCTGTCTCATTCTTCATCGTTTTAAGGCTCTGAAATGATGTAATGTTCAATTATGGGGAGGAAAAAAGGGATGCCATCAATTTTGTAAAAGTTCCTTGTGAGTTCAGTTGAAAATGTAATCTTCTTACATATTTGTCAGCATTTACTAAGTGGCAAAAAACATTACTAAACTGACAATAAAGAATACATAAGTTTATATAAGAATATAATATGCGTGAGGTTTTTTTTTTAAGTCAATAGAGACTGAAATGTTATCCTACTTTGTGACATTATCTTGCAATGCAACTCCAGTGAACTGTTTTGTTTGTTTGTTTTTCAGTGATAACAGGAATCTGTATAAAGAGGTTGGCTTTACTCCCAACTCATGACATGATAACACAGAGCCAGCCTAGCAAGTGGACTAGGCATCTGCCCCTACCCTCCACACACACACACACACACACACACACACACACACACACACACACACACACACACGCACGCACGCACGCACGCACGCACGCACGCACACACACACACACAAACCAGCAGGGGGACCCAAGAGTGTTCAAACATCTCAAAATAAAGACTGATTAAAAAAAAATCTGCAGTAATCACACATAACAAAATCAAAACATCTTGATGAATCTGTTCAGCTTGCATCAGAGCTGGTGTCATGTAACTACTTACAAGTAGATTACAACACCATAAAGTGTTTATTCATCTGAGGTTGCAAAGTGAAAGATATGATGAAGCTATGTTTCCACAACTAATTACAGCATTACATTAAGTGTCAAATGAGCCCTGAGTTCAGTCAAGGTTTGGTGAACTAATGTCAGCTGGCAGGTAGTTAGCGTTAATTTAATGTTAGCTAGCATTAATATGAAAATAGCTACATTTCGCCCCTTTAAGATAGACAACTCTATTAGTTTTACAGAGCTACACAGATTTAAGTTTTTAACAATATACAAACTTTCCTGCATGTTAGCTAGATTATGTTGTATGTAAACCATAGCAACCAAGTATAATGGCAAAGTATAGCAGCAAAATTTTATTTATGTCATTTTCTCTTGTCAACTACTTTATTGGTAAATATGGTAAATGGCCTGTATTTATATAGCACTTTACTAGTCCCTAAGGACCCCAAAGCGCTTTACATATCCAGTCATCCACCCATTCACACACTGGTGATGGCAAGCTACATTGTAGCCACAGCCACCCTGGGGCGCACTGACAGAGGCGAGGCTGCCGGACATTGGCGCCACCGGGCCCCTTATTCAGAACAAAAACAATATTAGGAATCTATGTGTAATAAAATTACCAACCAACTTATAAAAAGAGGCACATGGTAAGATCTTAAATAGACTGTAAGTGTTAAAAAATAAATCTGCACATCATACTCATTTTAAAATAATCCATAAATGAATTTATAGCTGAACACAGGACAGTATGTTCCCCAATTTTTTTTTTGGAATTCTCATGTCTTTTAAGAGAAAATTAGAGTTTTATTTTTTACATTTTGAAAACTTGTAAAGATCAGGTGTAAACCAAACCTAGACTAAATATGAGAGATATTTGGGCACAGGTGTAAAGAGGCCTATGAGTATTAATCTTTCTTTTTGGCTGCTGGTGCGTTGATTTAGTTGCCCATGTTATGTCAAGGCCGTCATTCTTTTCTTAAAGACCTTGTTTCCCTGCCAAACCAGGATTTCCGATTGAGGGGTCTCAATAACAACTTTGATGTGGACGGCGTTCTGGAGGGTGAAGTGAAAGGCGCTAGGGAGGGGGGCCACACAATGGCCTGACCTTCCTACTGCATCTGCACAGATCGCACTCTAAATGGTCACATTGATGCTGCTTCTTAGGCCTTTTCTGGGAGCCCTGATGGAGCCAACACTGGTGGACTGGGACACAGCAAAGCCTGGGCACCTGCCAAAAGACAGGGACAAATTGATTGAGACCAAGCTAGCTCCTCCTGCATTTAACCCCTGCTCCAGCACCAGTTGGTCCTTCTAAATCACCACATAAGAAAACAGAAAAAAATAAAGCCTAAATGGAGCTGTTGCTGCTAAAACATATCTCTCTATTTACTTTTCATTATTTTCCATTTCATTTTTTCTTTGTTATTATTGTTGCCTGCTGATTGTATTCACTTCTGTTTTTACTCTATTTGTTAATTTCTATTTGGTTACATTTTCACTCAATTACTGAAAAAGTTGGCCTTCAGTCTTTTTGGCTCAGTTTGCAGGGGCACTTGTGAATAAATACAAAGTTGGAAGAGACTGCTTGCATTGTGCCAGAGGCATTGTCACTCGTAATGATGAAGGTGAAATTAAAAATCCCTATAAACCATGCTGTCTTTTACTTGAAAAACCAATTAAAACAACTGAGTTGATTTGCCATCCACTAAAACTACAAAAGCCTCCATCCTGTTAGTGTAGTGGGGTAATGCAACAAAGTCTGCTGCATGCTTTACCGCTATTTTCAGTAATGCTACACTGGAGAACAAAAGGGGGCGGTTATGTGTTTAAATTCTTAAATGCAAGCAAAGTTCTAGTTATATCCTTTTGTTTTATATCAGTATCAATAAATGCACTGCTTTCTTTCCACAGAGGGACACAGTTTTCCACCCTCAGATGTCTTGCGAGTACACATAAGGTCACCACAGAACAAGAGTGGGAAGAATCTGGGAGCAAAAGGCAAAATGGTTTGTGTCGATTTAAGCAAGAGGGTAATAGGAGGAGTGGGAAAAAAATCAATAACAACATAAAATTGATTTAGTGCGTGTCATAAAACATAAGTAAGTGCTCTGAGATGGAGAAAACTGGAGTCTCAATTTAATCTGTGCAAAAGCTGCACTGTACAGATGAAGCGATGTCAAGAGGGAGAAAGATAGGAAGCGGCTAAAGGAGAGTGGGTGGGAAGAAAGAAGAAAAGCAGGAGGGAGGACAGAGTAGCTCACAAGATAGAGAGAGGAAGATACAATAAAATCTAAAAGACAGACACTTAATTGTCATATTAAAGACTCTTTCCAGTGCTCGGCAGAGTGGAAGGTTAGCTCCCATTCATCATCTCGCTAACAGCCGCCTGAATGAAATCACAATTAAAATCTGCTCAGTATTGTCCCTGGGACGTTTCGCGAGCATTAATTTTTTCCCATTGATTCTCTACCCCCCATAAATCAGAAATGTTGCAGCGCATGCAATGGTTTATGGAGAAGGGATTATGGTGTTATGAAGCTAATGTAGCAGAACCGTCTCATTTACACACAGCCTCCCTGGCCAGCTTACAGGGGACGGAGTTATTACACTATTACACAGCCTATCACAAACACAACACACTGACACTGTTTAAACGATACGTTTAATTGGACAGTACTGCAGATTTATGATCATAACAGCATTGTGTTTTGAGGATTCTGTTCATTTGCAGCACAAAAGTGCAGTAGGAGAAGATTACAGCATTTGTCGCAGAAACCAGTGATTCTCTAAACATCTCAGAAGGATTATCCAAAGCCCTGATCAGTTCCTATATATAATTTTCCAGTATATGGTTCTAAGGTGTAGACTTTTACATCCTTAAAAGACAAATCCAAGCACTGAAGTTTAGTTTAGTCTGAAAAAGTTTTGCTCTGCCATTCCTAAGTTGCTATTAAAAAAATAATAAAGTAAAGGAGAATATTAAATGCCGTAATATAAAATAAAAGGTAGAAGAGGACACAATAAAATAAACAGATAGTTTTAAAGTAAGTAAATAATAATAATTAAGAGCCAGTGAGGCTGCTAGCTAGCTAGCTGCCCGCTAGGCGTTATCTCAGCTTCTTTTAAACATTCAGCATGACCTCGCTACCTTGTTTGCAGTGGGTTTTTGTTTTAAACTTCAATAATGTGATTTGTAATTAAACTGTCTCCATTCTTGGTTAGTGGTACTCTGGTATTGTTTTTATGAACATGTTAGACAGTGCTTTTGCACTCCCTGCTAACCATGCTTGCTGGTTAGCTAATAACATAGCACACCGCCTTCTGTGTAAATGCAATCAATTCAACCTAAATGCTAAAATAAAGGCTTCAACACAAGGTGACAAGATGACTGGTGAAAGCACAGTGGCTACATCCATCTTTTAGATATAGTTTAAGACAGAGCGCAGTCGTTAGTGGGAATAATGCACAGCATTATTATTATTTGCAAGCATCTGGTCTTTGTCTGAAATCATTTTCTTGTCCAGTCATTTGCTGCCTTACCTATTTTGCATAATAATTTAATCTGCTGTGAGCAGCAAACTGTCATTATGAAGGTGTATGTGATTTTTTTGTCATTACTGACAGGTGTCATGTCATGCAAAGCTAATTTGGTTCTACAAATTACACAGCATTGTATCGTAGAACTTTTAGTTTGTGTTAATTGCATGCATAAATTTCCCACTCATTTTGGACACTCAATAAATACTATACCATCTTTATTGTTTACAGCTGTGTCTTCCTAAGTAATATGAGCCTTGTAAAAGAACATGGGTAAATGCAACAGATTTGTCACTGTGTTCTCATAGCACATTGTTATATTGTTGTTTTTTTAATGGCTTGAGCCCATCAGCAATCCAAAATCCATAACTATCATAGTTCATTCTGAGGGAGTTAGATCAGAATGAACTACCCAAACATCACATCATCGTCACATAAACTGGTCCTGACACCAGCTAAAAAGGGAGATGGATCATGTGCTGCAGCTTTTTGATGCTGGAAAAGTTTTTATTTTGATGAAGCCCTTAACTCATAGCTAGAACACCATCACCACCAGACATCTCTATACAATGAACACACATATACACACACACGCACACATAGAAACACACGCACTGCTTTTCCAACAGTGATAATTGTATCTTCAGCGTCAACGGCTTAACAGGACCAAATCATAGAAAGTACCTCTTGGCTAAAGCAAACCACTTCTACTAGATGAAGTGCATATGTCTGCCTTTGTGCAAAGATGGCCTAACTGCAGTTTAACTTTATCCTATAACAATAGAAATGATATATACAAGCAGAAGTACAATGACCTTTGGAATTTCAATATGAAGATGAAAAGCAGCAAGTCTCTTTGACAGGTTGCCTCACAGCCAGTGTCTACATGTAAAAATGATGTATGTAAAGAGAAATATCCATAAGTGCCATGGCCTGCAGTCTTTCCCATACATGGCTTTTACTGAGCCTGGCGACATGTTGAAGGCACTGTATGCAACAACATGAATGACAGCTTTACAGTGTGCATAAAACTTCTCTGTAGACAGAGGCACACGGTTATACTGCCTGGTGTCTCCAGCTCTTAAGAAAACAGCATCAGGAAGCTTCTGGTATTAATGTGCAGACTGGAGTTGGACACTTAAACAGGGAATCAGTGCCATCTCTGCACAGCTCACGCATTCGTTCATTTACAAATTAGTGCTTTTACCGAGGTTTTTAATGACTGAAATGATGTTTATTTTACTTGTTTTTTCACTTATTAATGTAAACAGCCCTTAGTATAACACGATTTCCTCAGTATTTATGTAATCACAAGAACAATAGATCTTCATCCGGAATTTAGCACTCTTAAACTTGTGCAGAGTTAGTTGAACCGGCCAGAAAGTCCAGCAGGTGGGGAACTAGTTCCTGCACCAACATGGTAAGTTCTGCAAGGCTGTAGAGAAGAACGGGGACTACTGTTGCATTTAGGCTACAGTTCTTGGACTCACTGGAGAAGCAACTGTAAGACGAGGTCTGCCACAGGATATGATAACACAAATTCAACAAAAGAATAGAGCACAAAATTCCAAACCATACAAAAATTATTTATAAGATGGCACAAAACACAATATGTGTAGTCGTAGTGCTTCTTTCATCACTGCAATTAAGTTAAAGGACTTTTTCTACACAGAATGAATGTTGTTTAGATTGAAACATCAGCTCTAACAATATCTAATGTAATGATGTAAATGATTAAAAAAATCTTGCTTGGTAAATGTAAAAGGGCAATGGTAAGTGGAATATAATTAAAGCCCTCAAATTAACTCAATCACATATGGTGACTTTTAAGTCTGTCGGATTTATAAAAAGATGATTGAATTGCCTCCTAAAGAGGGGAAATAAAGATGTCACACTTTGAAAGACACTACGTGCGTAATTACTAATCAAAGCTGTCGATCAAAGGAACAGAGAATTCGATTGCCTCGAACTTTAACGGAATCAAACTGGTTCAAAATCATAAGCCTATAATTCTTCACATCTAACAAGGTATTCATTTCATAAATGGCACTGAAAAGTAACATGTTGTGCCCGAATAGACCCGTCAAACATCCACATTTTCACTTTGTACTGACTGATCCCAGGACTACAGAATAATGAGGAGCCTAGAGAAATCTCAGGAGTAATGTAGAACTTGTACAGCAGATAAACAAATCATTTGCTCTAATGCGTACGTTATCTAAGTAATGATACAGCCGTGAATAATGTTATTTGACAACAATAAATGGCTACTTGATAAGAGGAAGGGGGATTTACAGTGTCTGTGGGGACAAACATGATAGCAGTGAAATAAATGCATTCTAAAGCGCAACGCTGTAATTCAATCTTTAGTGAAGATCTTTACGGTGCAGCCGGGGCTTCCACCATCAGCTGCAGTCTGCCATAGAGCATCACATCTCCTAGATAAATTCTCAAGACAGTCTGTGAAATGCTCCCATAACCAGTGACACGAGATGATTTCCCGCCTCTGACAAGCCCCAGTATTGAGTATGATAACACTTACTTTGTCTTCATCCTTGGCTGGAGTATAATATCAATCCGTTTGATGATCCAGCAAACCGAGTCGAGCACTTGTGTATCAATCTTCATACATCGCTGCCTAGTGTCTAACAAAGAGGCCAGAATGGGATCATTCAATCACTCCTGGGTTGCGCTCTGTTTGGTACACTTGGCCTTCTTTACAGCTCAAGTTTTTCACTCTCTGTGAGCATCTGTCCTATTTTTCTATTTCAGTTTCCCTCAATTTCCCTTTCCTTGTCGGGGATAAAGACACTTATATGTCTGCACACTTGTCATAACTAAGCACACTGTTCTTCCTATCGTCCAGTTGTTGCCATGCCTTCCAATAAACTGTTTGTCTTACCTTTGATTTCAACAACCGTAAAGCATCACTCCATAATCTTAACCACTTACCCCTACAGCAGGTTGAATCCATCCTCATTACCCTTCTCTTTCGATATCAAAAGGAATCCGTGTACGATGTTTTTTTTAAATTTTGACTTTACTTTTGTATTTGACTTTTTATTTTTAGTTGCTCTTTATGCACCAACACGACTTGGTTAGGTTTAACATACACCCGTCCAGGTTTTCCACATTAAGAGAAACATTGATGAGTCCTGCAATAGTCTAAAACCCATTTTTCCTGTCTTACTGAGTCTCTTTTAGACATTGTTGGAGTTTGACAGAAGTCTGTCAAACCATTCATCCACTGATCCATCCATACATCTATATATTTGCTTGACCAAAACAAAACTGGGTTCAATTCAGGATTGCAGAGACGCTGAAGCCTATCGAAGCTGTCAAAGGGCGAAAGACGGGGTACATCGTGTCTCAACACGTGCAGGGGCCTTTGAGGGACAGCAATTTTGGGTCCAAAGACAAATTTTCATGGAATCTTAAAGGTTTACTTCTGACAATTGTGGATGCCATACGATGCCAACAATTCTCTGTATCCCCCCAAAAAAGAAATAAAAAATGTTATAGCTGCAAATAATATTTAACAGCAGCATACTGACTATTTCCTATTCTCTGGTCAATAAAGGGGGTTTTGCAGCCAATGTTTGGTAGCAGGATTTGGTTCATTGTGAAGACAACCACGAGGCTTCCACTGAAATATAGCTCAATCAATAGACACGCAGCAATCAACTTTTACTTGTCAGTTTTGATATATCCAGTCATAGCTTAGGGTTGTTTTGCGATGTCTAATGTTCTGTGAAGATGGGCTTTTCATATTCTTTATCGTTTCTCACTCCTTTTTTCACCCCATCAACAAAAAAATGTGTTCACACTTTTGTGAAATAAAACCTCTAAGGGAGAGAAGGAGGGGAGAAATGAGGAGAAGAGAGGGGAGGGGGGGACAATGAAATTTAACCCGTTTAAAACTGTATCATTTTCCGACCGTACCTCAGGGCTCTGGGTGTTTATCGGTGGGACTGGAGAAGCAGAGATCACCGGACTGGTAATTGTTTCCTCTAAATCTGCTGAGCTCTGAGGAACACCAAGTGCAGTTTTTCATCAGACAGAGAATGAGAGGGTAAAAGGACAATACTAGGAAAAGCAAAAATGCTTTAGTCCATCATGTTGGTTTTTATCACTTCATCTAGCAAGTTAGGAAGGCCACTAGCCTTCCACACAAAATAATTATGAACACAGCTTTTGCCACTGACGGGGAGTTGGCGTTGCTTTCTGCAGTCAGTAGATCACATACAGTGTTTTCTTAGAATAAAGTTATTAAAAAGAAATAAATTACTTCTGTTTTAATTGATAAAAAAAAGAGAATATTTTCAAATATTACTTAATGCTAACTCAATTTGACATTTTGCTACAGAGTCAAAGCTCAGCAATAGGCCTGATATCTCATTTAGCTGTAAAGTGATGTGCTCTGCACGCAGCCACAAAAAGACATCAGAAAAGCAAAGTACTGCCACACTCCACTCGGACCAATTTG